AAAAAAAAATTGGTGTGAGCCTTGGTTACTGAACCACCACAAAAGAAATCATGTGCTTAAAGAGGGTGCTCCATGCCAGTTTGGACTAGAAGGAGGAAGGAGATGGAGTAAGACCACATTAAGTGAGTTGTTCATGGAGGAGGATATAGAAGCCATTTTCAGAATTGATTCATTGAATAGATTGCAAAAAGATAGGTCGGTTTGGACAGTGAGTCATTAGAGCATGTGGGGGTGGACAGTGAGTCATTAGAGCATGTGTTCTTTGGTAGTCCTAGGGCTCAAACTGCTTGGAAACTTTCTCCTTTGAATTGGGAAGACCTGAGATATAAACAGTCAGACTTCAGACTATGGTGGTGGCCGGTGGGATATCTGCTTTGTTGGAATATCACTTGTGAGTTGTCCCACATTGATTCTATAGGGAAAGTGAGTCTAGTATATAAGCCTAGTGGGCTACTCGTCCCATCACCAATTGGTTTTGGGATGGAACCTCACTATGGTGCACCTAGACTCACCCTCTTATGGTGCGCTTTATCTGGTGGGACCGCACTCTCTTCCCCCATTCTAACATGCTTGTTGGACAAGAAGACCATCTCGATAGAATTCAGTTGACAACATATCTCCTCATGTGGCTATGGAAGTCCAGAAACTTATGAAAGTTTCAGAACATTCTTATGTTTGATGCTGCAGTTGTGAATGAAGTTGTCAAGGAGTGGTCAGAGTTTAAAGAATTTTCAGTAAAGCAAAAAATATGCTTAAATAGAATCAAAGATTCTTCTACATCAAGGATGGATTATCACCAGTTCTGCACCGGGAGGCAACCTTGTTTTGAGCTTCTTTGCAACAGCTGTTGCTTTCTCGCAGCGCATTTTTACGTGGAAAAGATGCTCGAATGAGGGATGGATTATCAAGCTCTTGAGAGAAACGGCTCTGCCCATTAAACACAACAGCAGCTCAACTTCAACAACACCGCCCTGAAATCCAACAAACTCGATTACCTTGAGATGCTCGTGCTCTGGTTCTGCCTCCATCTCCTCCACACGGTCCCTATATACCTCATGCCATGACGGCCATGAAACCTGCTACAAAGTGACAGTAAAAATGAAATAATAGAAAAAGCACAGCAAGATGTCGACTTATAAAATATGTTTGTGTTACTGAGTAGTATTGGCCTAATCATGCATTAAATGGTTAAAGGAACAAGTTCTTTTGTATAAGAAGGAAATGAAGCTATAATCTAAAAGCAAAAAAACGTAATAATATGGCTTTCACGAAACACGGCAAACCATGTAAAGATAATCACAACTAAGAAAACTAACACGCATGAAGAAAAAAACGAGGCATAGCAAAATTAGCAATGAGAATGGGAAATAACAAGTAGGATTGACCTTTAATGTGAGTCTCTGCAATAAACAACAAGTCTCCAATATATCCGCACAAAAGAGAAGGCTCTCAACAAAATATCCACACAAATGCAGCTCCAAGCGCTTGAGATTCTTCATGCTCGGTAACTCTGGGAAACTTTTAAATCTCTATCAATTTAACATGTGGTAAGTACGGATTAGTGAACTGGGGTCTATTGTCATTACTTGTGAACTGTGAATTAATAAAACAGACACTAGCTAACTAAAAATGCTACCTCGAATTTCAAGTTGAGATCAAGCGTCTCCATTCGCGAGAGGAAACCCGAAAAGTGGCAGCTGTTGTTAACAACAAAGTCCGCACATGCTCCCCCAATGGAAGCCTCCACTAGATTCGGGACGTTTGTAATAGTTCCCTTTGGCCTCTGACCACTGTACGAAAAGGACACAAGACTAGTGGCTGAAGAAATTTCTATGTATTCCAACGGGCAGTCCATTATTTCCAATGTTTTAAGATTGGGAACAGGGCTCGAAACCCGAAGCCGCGCAAGGGATTCCGAATCCTCCAATCTAAGCAGCCGAAGCAAGGGGCAAGCGGATAGAATGTGCTCCACGACTTCCTCACTCACCTGCAATGAGCTCAAGCGGACAACTTCAAGGAAACATATGGCTTGACCGGCAAGAAACCGAGTCGTGAGGGTGTATTTGCTTGACAAACAATCAAATCCCAAGCAAAGGCATCGTGCCCTCTTTTCAAGAGCAAATACGATCCACTTGTCGATATCAGGCAGGCAAGTTCCCGCGTCGAGGTCAGAACATACGGTGAACTCATCCAAAGTCATCCCCAGATGTGATAGGAGTGTTTTGTTGACCCAACTAATGAGATTCCCCTGATGTGATAGGAGTGTCCTGTTGACCCGACTACTGATATTTTGCCTTATGGCCTCAAGGGATTTGGAATTGAATTTTGGGTCTTCAAAAACCAATCTGCGGGTGAGCGTCCACAGTTTAACCCACCTACGAGACAAGATGGTGGTTTGTGCAGCTTGTTTCAAACTCAACCGGGAGAGAATGGAAATGAGAATGTCGTCGGGTAGCTCATTGATCAAATTTTTCGAATCACTTGTCACGTCGAATTCGGGGCTAACAACAGTGTTTCGTGGTTCACTAAAGGTGGTGCTTTCACCACAAACATCATCTGGAGGTTCACTTATTTCATCATCCTGAAAATCAAATCAAATTAAAACAAATAATATACATATATGTACGTATAGCTCCTGGGGCAACTTACACTTTGCAGAGCCCTTAATAATGAAGATATAATTTGAGATCTTCTGTGAATCCTGCTCAGAAAACCTGCAAGCATGAAGAAATTACGTGGATAAATATAAACTAATAAATTTAATCGAAGTATGAAAAGTAGATAAATTACCTCCTCTATATTTACTCATATGGGGTGACTGAGTTTTCATCAATAGAACAAAGCTGAGGTTTTTAAGGTTTGATCAGTTTAGGGCGAGGAGGCTTGCGGCAGCCATATCCTCAGACACTAAAAATAATTGTGGTATGCTGTGCAACAAAATATAACAAAATTAAAAACACCAAAGAGATAAATGACCTCATACTTCAGATAAAGCAACAAGCAAGCTCCGTTCTTTTTGTCAACCTAGATCTATAGTAGTAGATTGTAGTATAGAGCAGGAAATAAATATTGAACCTGCATATAAATTAATCCTTGTGCCAATCCTCTCCCCTTAGGTAACACAGCTAGTAAGAAGATATCATGTGAATTAAGAATCAATCAAGTTCCTTTTTCTCTGGCCGCCTTAAATATAAAAGTACCTTGTAGTAGATAGCCAGATTTCAAACATAAACTCATTCATCAAAATATGAAAAGTAGATAAATTACCATTCTTATACATAATCAAGCGAGACTGGTTTATTCGCTAATGAAACACAAACGGGATTTTTAAAGTTTGATCAGTTCAGTTCGGACTCAGGAATCTTGGGTCGACCATAGCCTAACCTAACACACAAAAGTGACCGTGGCATGCTGCACAACAAAATAGAACAGAATTTAACACTGCGGAGGTAAACAATATGAAAAAAAAAAAATATATCAAAAAATAGTCGAACATGCACACTATTCATAAGAAGAAAGAAAACAAACATAGGAAATAATAGCTTTCAAGAAATAACAATTGTAGCCATTTTCTTATAAGAAAGAATCACCATCCCTCTCACAAACAATTCACACATGCCTTCCAAAGCTGCTCATCCCACATTTGTTGAACCTAAGAGCTTTTGTAACAACATTAACCAAGTGAACATAAGGACTTTCGAAACAGCATCGATCAAGTGGAGAGCCCTTCTTGGGCACGATTCAACTCTCCACCATTTATGAGGTGTCTTGCTTCACGTGATCTATATCACATTGGCTTTGGATAAAAAGAGACTAGAGAAAGCCTTATACTACCATCAGCGTACTTAAACACTGTCTGGTGATAGAATTAGTAACTTCTTTCTCCTTCCAACCAGGCTGATCTGCCCCTAGCCTAATTTCATTTTTTTTTTTATTTTTTTCTAGCTCAATACAAGTAACTTCTTAACACTGTTAGAGTTCCCCAGAAATTGGGGTACGCCGTGTGTTCAAAAGTGCAGTCTATGGCAGTTTATGCAATGAATTTTTGTTAGGTATCTAATCAGTATAAATTTACAGGTTCCACATAATATTCTATTCTTAAAAAAAGCAACTCATGAATATAGATCAAGCTTCATCCTACAATCCAAGACGAAAACAAATAAAACCCAATGACCCAACAGAACTTTGAATCACCATATCCAAACCACAGAACAGCGAGAATGTGATACGAACAGAATTTTCTCAACCACCAATGATTTTAAAGTCACCAATTTCGTCATTAAATTCGACCAAGAAGATTCATGCCCAACAAACAATTCGAGAAGAGAGAGTGAAGATAGAACTACCGGCGGAGAAAGGTGGCTACCGGCGGTGGCTGATCTTCATTGCGGCGGAGCGATAGCCGAACAGGTGCAGAGAAATGCGTATATGATTATGAGGTTTACTAGTTCAGTCTATAGTTATTTATATTTTATAATTGTGAAAAAATTACAACATAGTTACCCACACTAGTAAAGTGCACGTGGTTACAAATTCTTTTGCTAATAAATTTTGTAATAAAGAACAAATAATTATCTTATTAACATTGAGAGATTAAAATAACAATAGAAAAAGAATATGATGAGTTCTTTTTGAAAATTTAAATATAGTAACACCATGAGTAGGTGATGTAGCAGAAGCGTACGAGTGAGACGAGATATGCGAGATACTCTCTCAATACTCAAAGAATGAGATACTCTCTCAAAGAAACACGATAGTTTTTCATTCAAATATTCACCCCCCATAACAAATCACAACTGCCTTTTAAATAAAGTTCTAACCTTAAACTTAGCTTATTCCCTAAGCTAACTATTATTTAATAATAATAATAATAATAATAATAATAATAATAATAATAATAATAATCCTAATTTTAATCATATATAATCTCCATCATTCTCTCCCGGTGGAGCAGGATTCGACCTCAAATCCGACCTGTTCCCGTAGGAGAAGAGTGACCCGTTTCGTCCTCGATCGAACACGAAGCTTGAAGGTCGTCCAATCGCACCGACGAACACAAATTCGAGCAAGTATACAATGGTCCGAAAAGCAAACGGGCCTACTTCCCCATGCAAAATCCCGGAAGCCTTCGGAACAACCAATCCAATAATGTCCCAACAGCTATTGAGTCCCGAAGGCGCGTCCAAAAAAACATCCTTTGCAAAAATATGTTGAAAATTCGGTCCAAACGATGGGTGTTCTAGCGAAGGGACAATCGTGGCGTGGTCCCACGTGGAGCCCAAAGTGTCGTCAATATGTATCTCCGGCACTGGAGGTTCTCAATCAAAAATAGTCGGACCGTCATACATTGGCCCGTCACCGTGATCCTTGTCGAAGTTAGGAATTTCAGCACGAAGGCCCACCTCCTGACCAAATTTGCTGCCAAACTCATCTGTTCCATCCCAATTCCCACAGTTAACTTTATAAGCCCAAATTTCCCAGGTGGGCTGCTTCTCTTGAGGCCCAAAATCCCCCCCTAACTTATCTCCTCCACACGCCCAAAATCTGCGTCCATCTCCTTCTCTCTGTATCTGTACCATTCCTCTATCAAATCCAAAAATTTTAACACCTCCGAAAACCTGCCCCGTCCTCGCTTCCTCGCCGCGCATCTCGGCCGCCGTCACCAAAACAGGTTGCTTTTCGCCTCCCCTCGCGTTCGCCGGTCGTGGCAAAAACCGCATCGGCCCAGTGCGGCCCGCGGTCAAGGAAGTCGCTGCCGTTGCTAGAGGTGCGACGCCCCTCCTGTGGCCACCGTCGTGTGGCCCCCGCACCTTCAGTAGCCCGACGGAAGTCACCGTTCGACCCTCTGCGTGCAGCAATTCGTCAGAATTTGGCGTCTAGGGTTGCGCGATTGGGAGAAATTTGGTCGCCGGCAGCCTCGGACCCGTCATCCGAGCAGCGGCGCGGTCGATTGAACACAGTGAAGGTCGAGTCCTCTCTATCGGGCCCCTGTTTGTCCCGTTTTCATTGTTATTTTCGTTGGTATTTTGTGTGTCGTTTCCCCCGTTTTAGGTCTTTTCTTAGGTATTTTCGGTCCTCTTTGTCATTTCTTATGCTTTTATCTTTATTTCGGTGTGTTTAGTGTTTTCTTTGTTTTCTTTCCTATTTTCTTCGTTTTTCGTGTTTTTCTTTCCCGTTGTGGTGGTTCCAGGTTTTAGGTTGATCGGATGACGAGCATTCTGACAATAAGGGAAGTTTGTTGTTCGAGCATCAAACATGCGAAAGTTGAGTTTCCAGCTCGGGCAGTACCCGAGCGACATGGACGAGCACACGAACCGAAGAAAAAAGCATCAATGTTGATCTTCCGGGCCTTAGCGCCGCTAAGGCCATAGTGGATAGCGCCGCTTTGAAGCTTAACGGGAACAGACACGAGCAGCTAACATTGCTTAGCGACGCTAAGAAGCCTTAGCGCCGCTAAGGTGGGTTAGCGCCGCTAAGGTCTAATTTGTAACAGCTGCGGGATTTTCGTGATTTCAAAAGGATGACAGATTAATATCGGGAGGGGGCATATTTTGAAGGGAATCAGACTCGTTTTTTCATATCTTTTCACCTTAGAACATATTTCTTTTTACTTTTGCATCTTGGATTTGATTTGGAGGTTAAAGACTCGTTTCTAGCTTTTGGATTCGGTTTGCTCTTGCTTTCGACATTGGATTATTTAATCGTAAGCTT